GTGAAAGCAGAAAAAAAAGCCAAACTGAACAGTTTTTCCCTCAGGGGCCAACTTCAAGCTGTATCCCTCGCTCCGCCTGGCATTACATCCTCTCTCTATCGTCACTATCTAGGGTCTTAATAGTGGGCGTCCCCATTCTCTCATCAGTTCCCCTCCCGGTAGGCCGGGACCCAAACTATTGATACACCACTGAGGTAGCCACAGCCCTTCTCAATTAGTATCGCCTAGACGCCGCTGTGATTAGTAAAGCCTTATCGGAATGATGGTTAATGATATGATACGGTAGGGAACGACTGTTGGAGCGATCCAGTGGAATGTATATTGCCAGGGGAAATGGGAGTTCCCATAGAAAACCTGGAGAAACTCGCTATGTCCACCACAAATTCCACTTGAAACCGCCTGGGCACGAACCCGAGCACTTGCGATGGAAGGGTGCAGTCTGACCATTATGCCACAGGCCGCCCAACTTCGATAATCTCATAAGTTGCAAAATTGTAAAAGATAAAGTACGACAAAAATTAAACGAATTAAATAATTCGAGCAAATTCTGGGTCGCGCGCTCTAGTCCGTTACAGAGTCGTGACGCGACAGGAAGTGAGTAGAAATGTGACATCGATGTCGATGTGTTCAAAACATCGATGTTTTTGTAGAAACATTGATGTCTTAAACATGTTTTTTAAAATCGATGATTTGTGATAGATCCCCCCCCCCCGATGTTTTGTTTCTGAATGAAAAATTCGCATGATTACAGTACTCTAAAAGTTAATATATGCAATAATAACTGATTGTAACACTGTTAGTTCATGAATTGGAACCGAAGGAAACCATTCTTCCACCATTGATTAAAACTTTCTCGCCCGAGATTACCTCCATGCCCTTATATTTCCTCTTTCTTCATATTCATTTCGCACATTGAGATATATGATCGGCAAATACGCTGAGGGCGTAGGGTCTGCCCCTTCTTCTCGTACCCTTAATCAGCGATGTGATTAACACGAACACTGTCAAACTGTTAAATTTTAAAACACACGAATTTAATGTTAAGAGATAACTAATCCAGTAGTTTTTAGTCGATGTGTTTTTAAAACCGATGTTTTCGTCTTGAAC